CACTAAAAATGCCCTATTTCTCCCCTTATAATACCCTTAATTTTTTACAGTGCACTCCATACTACCTGCGCTCTCATCTTCACCTCTCTACCACACTCTCCGTTACTTTGAACAACTGATTCTTAATACTTGAACTCTTCCACCTTTGACAAGTCTACATCTTGGAACTTCACCACTCCACCGCCCTCCCTCTCATTCACATTCGTGTACTCTGTCTTGCTCCAGCTGATTTTTCTTCCTCCTCTTTACTGGCTCGCCTCAACCTGTTCCTTACTCTCGCTATAGATCACAATATCATCCACTATCATCGTAGTTCATGGCGACTCCTATCTGATCTTGTCCGTGAAACTATCCATCAATAACGAACAGAAAAAGATCTCAAGCTTGTTCTTGATGCAATCACTCCTACACCTTGAACCCAGCCGTCAATTTTGCTGCACATCTCACGACTGTCACCCTGTCCTCATACATATCCTGGTCCACCGTCATGTACTTTTCTACCTCACCCTGTCAAACGTACACTCTAAATACACAAACAAACGATGCAGTTCATTCTTGCCAAAACTCCATCAACACTCTTAAAGCAAAAATTGCGTCAGTAGCGTTCATTCCTGTCATAAAACCATATTGCTCATCAAAAATCCTCACAGCTCTTCTCAGTCTAGCTTTTACTGTTCTTACCAATATCTTCATGCTTTGAACGATGAATTTTCTCCACATCCATCAACTTTTCAGAGTAATTCTTTTACCTCTGAAACACTCGTTTGGATCAGGTTTCTAAAGCTTACCAGTTCCGATCACAGTCTTCCCACCTTCATTTTTTTGTAAATACCAATTTTCTGATTACATTATTCTAAAAAAAATGTTCCTCTAAAAATACTCCCCTGACATTCCTTTTAAACTAAGATGGTTTGGGCAAGTGATGAGGAGGGATGAAGAGAAATCATAAATTTCCGCTCTTCTTGTCACTTTCTCTTGTATTTTGTTAAAGGTTCTTTTTCTTTTAGTTACTATTACATAAGATTTCTTCTACCATTCTAATTCTTAAGCATAATTAATTTCCACCATTCACTTTCCGTTGTTTTCTCTCTTCCTATTCTCTTTTCTACGCTTTATTTTTCTGCACATCACAGAGTTCTTGGACTCTTTCTACTTTTCATCTCTACTCTCCTCTCTCTTTATCGAATATTTTAAGAAATTCCCTTGCTTTGTCATATGTTGCTTATAATAATAATAATAATAATAATAATAATAATAATAATAATAATAATAATAATAATAATAATAATAATAATAATAATAATAATGATAATAATAATAATAATAATAATAATAATAATAATAAAAAAAAATAATAATAATAATGATAGCAATTACAGATAAAATAAAAAATGATTTCTTAAAGCTATGCACATTGGACAAGGTTTGCTCGTCAGTGTGTTGCTAGCATAACTACTCCTTTAGATCCTTGAGAGAAGATTCCGTACGAAGTAATAATTATCATATGGAGTTGTCTGTGAGACTTGATATACTGTTAGTTTTCCCCTTTCATACAATCATCCAAATTATGCCACCAAACAATGTACCTTTCCTTTAGAGTCAAGAATTAGGGTAATACTAGGTCATGTAATGCTACGATAGTGTAGTTACCGTGGCTCAAGCGGTAGCGTCCGCGACTTTAGAGGCGTCAGGTCGAGGGTTCGCGCCCCGTCACGGTCTGAGGTTAGCAAGGGCATGCACTCAAAGTAACGATTACATCTGTCAAAACAAGTCCTTCGCAAGAAGGCAACCGTCCTAGCCCTTGGTAGAAAAGGGAGTTCGTGACGTAAAACCGGAACAACAACAACAAGTAGTGCTACGATAGTACTTCCGATAGCATAATGAGTTGAGCTAAATATGAAAAAGTCTGCAATGGAAGAGTGGCACTACCGAGCTTTTGCTTTGTCACTAATAACAATCTCTGCCACAGAGCCATGAGGGAAATATAAATGTTACTCTGTTCATCAGCCAATACCTCCTACCCATTATACATCTATTACTGCTAACTTATTATGGACGAGAAAAAGCCTTGTAAGCAGATATTTGTCACATACTGTCGTCCGCTTGGCATAAGCTAATAATAATTACAAATAATTATACAGGTCCTGCTCTCTCAACATATGGGAAAACATGAGTCATATTTTACCCCTGACAGGGACTCAAACCTAAGGCGCAATTATTGGGCCAAGGCGCTATAAACTACACCATTGAATGTTTAAAGGAGAAACAAACCTTTCATCTTAACTACTATACTAGGAATGAACGATTCTATCTGAATGCCTTTTTGTTCATATTACAGCTTCTCCTAACCTCACTTATGGCTTTATTTCCCCCCCATATATATATATATATATATATTATATATATATATATATATATATATATATATATATATATATATATATATATATATATATATATATATATATATATATATATATATATTATATATATATATATATATATATATATATATATATATATATATATATATATATTATCACATTATATCACATTCGGGCATCGAATATTGAATC